GTTTTTGCCGCTGTACCAGCCACGTATACAACGGTCGTTTCTCCAAATATGCATATACAATCTGAATTTTTTAATTTGTTAACTTAAAAAAAAGATGTAATGTTCTTGAGATATTTTTCAAATTAAAAGTTAGCCAGACACGTATACACAATTATTTATCATGATCCTTTCGGCCCCGCTCGCGCAATCTCACAGGTTAACTTAGTGAAAGTTGAAGCGTGCAGGGCCGAGCGGGTTGACTTGAGCCGGTCTGGAAAAGGCCGTTCGGCCCTGCTGCCCTCGTGTTGCTTTCTTACAAAACCTTAAAGGACAACAGAAATGAGAAAAAAGTCGCATTCTTCAAGGATTTGGGAGTCTCTTGCTCTGACTTGAAAAATTAAAAGAAAAGTTTTATTTGAAGATTTTTTGTGTGTGTTCGTGTGGTGCATGTGCCGGTCTATTGCGTCCTACTTATGCCCAAATTTTTAACACTTGGTAATCATATGATAAATTGCTTAATGACTGAGTTTGGTCGTGCCGGATGGGGAAATATTTGGCTCTCGGTCATGCGGCACGGACAAATCGACTTTGCTGCGCTCGGTCCGTACATCATGACCTCGAACCAAATCCTTTCCCGTCCAACCCTCCCAATCAGTCAATAACTACATAATATTTATAGTCTTGAACTTTTTCCATTCCTGTCAGTTTTCCATTACATTTTTTTCTCAACACGCTCTGTTTCATTTTGTTTCACCGTTTGTGTTTGTCCCATTAAAGTGTTGGTTTTTTTTTTGGTTCCAAGTCTCAGAGAATAAATATTTTGCCATTTTCCTTGACTGACATTACATCACCATCTCTATTCCGCTGTTCTTAGTTGCCTCTTAACCAGATCAGTACAAGTTTCTCCGGTGCAAGGAGCCTTGCACTCACATGAATAACATTGTTGTTTCTCGTCATACACTCACACACCTCCATTTTTACGACTGTTGGTTGTTGGACAGCCCTAAAAAGAAGTAATAACAGACAGTGTGTCGTGAAAACTTGATCAGAATACGAATATGAGAGTACCTTGAAATTATTCCAAAGTAGAGCTTCACCTGTCGCCGCAAATTATGATTCAGTTTTAAAAGCAGATTCCCTTGAAAATAAAAAAGGTCTTCGAGTCCTACACCATGTGTTGCCTTTCGTTCAAAGGATATCTTGTCATACGGAAAAGATGCTACTTCGATGACTGAATATCAGGCGATAAGATCATGGATTTTGTCATATTTGTCATATGGTAGCGTTACAAGACTACTTGAACAGAGTTAATAGAGTTAATTCCTCTCTATTAACTCTGGCTTGAAACATACTTTGGCAAGAATGACAAAGCAAGTCAATGTCTTCTTTCTTCGGCTAATGCTTAAAGTGAATTCGTGAGATTTACCATAAGGTAGCTACAAGGAGCCTTTCATTCAGACTAAAAGCAAGATCGGAAACTGAAATATTTAGAAAAATTCGACCCAATGGTGGCTCATTAAAACCTGGTCGATTTTTTACCATGGCACTCAGCTGACACACTGCTCATGGTGATTTGTAAATGTACGACATGACGAACGACTGCCGAGTTTTACAGGAGCATGACGACTGTACGAGGTGACTGCGTCCCTTGGGCAGCATCATTTCGACTCAATGCAGCGAAAAGTATATCGGAACAAGCCCTTAGTCGTTCAAAGGCGGACGTTGTAATTTGTGAGGCTTAGTTTACTGTAATAAACGGAGATCGCCAAAAGTATTAACTTTTTGTTTCTATTTACACCCAATGAACATAACATAATTATTCTTTCTCTTTTAACTGTCAACCGGGCGTCGCAACTCAGAAGTAAATTAAAATCCAGCGTCTAAAAGTGACAGATCTTGCCCCGCTCAAACTGTCAATCGGAATACCCATGCTGTTATTCGTCTGATAACAGGAAAAACAGTGCTGGCAAAGTAAACACAAAACGACGGAAATCGCCAAAAAACACAACAGAAACACAAGGAATTAGTAAGTTTTATTAATCTACCGTGTAAAATGTTCGTATTTCGTAATATTTAGTGTTTTAGATGGACCATATTTTGTTCCCCATACTATTCTTTACAACGCATTCAAATTCTCAACGGTAACTCGCATAACTTAACATCGCGTCACATTTCTTGAAATAATCCTTCGCTTTTCCTCGTGACGTGAGCTTGAGACACCTGTGGTCAGCCATGTGTTAGGGCGGCTTTTCATCGTCCAAAACCATCTCTTTTTCGACGGCTTTATTATCGCGAAGGCGAAATGAAACGAAAAAAAATACGTTGTACCTAGACGATAGACACTTACAGAAACCAGATGAGGCTATTGTTCGGAAGCGAAACGGAAAATCCAAACAGACACTTTAATTCCAACACGGTCAACTGTAGACTCACGGCAAACAATAACGACCGTTAAACAAACCACCAATCGAAAAACTAGGAAACCTTCAACTCTTCTCTGTAAAAATTGCACACGTCAAAATTAAAAAGGTCCGCGTGATTAGCTTACGGTATTATTAAGCTACGTAATCCCAAAGCACGCACACGTGAGTCGCACGCGCACAAGTTCTTTAACGTCTTCTTAACATTTCCTCCTCCCCACACTGGGAAGCAGTCCTAGTGTGTTTCCCATTAAGTAGTTAACAGTTAATTCCAAGCGGAACCAGTTTGTTAATCGTTCCCATGACAGTCTTGACACCACACGCAACTTTAGCTACTCGGGTGTGGCCATCTCGTCCAGGATACACTTCAACAATCCGTCCTAATGGCCGCAGAAATGGCCATCTCAAGTAAGGCCATGTCAACCAAGAATGTCAACAAAGGAAGGAACAAATAATCGGGGGTTGAATTTTGTTTCCGTTTGTCTATTTCAGTTTTTTTTCCGAAAGTCTGATAAAGTATGAAGGCGGGTGACGTTTTTAATGGCTCAATTCTTGGTCTTAATTTTTATTTCCTTCTTTCACAGGTTTCTTGGACCACCCAATCAGCACGAGACCAGAGACAATTATCAATCTTCGAAAGAAGCTAAATTGGATCGACCCCTAATTCAGAGAATAAAGTGAAAAATTGGGGTTTGATCCTTCCACAATCCCCCAACAAACCTGCCTCCATTAGACAATTTCCAACAGATATCTAACTACTCTGGAAAATTAACCGAAAGAGGTTCCCTTCAGACATCCGTCAATTTTAGTCAGTACGCTGTAGTATACATCTTTGAAAACAGTCAACTTATATTACAGTACAGTATTACAATACAATCTTTTATTATACATGTATATAACAATAGTAATATTACTATCTTCCTCTTACAATCGTAGAATACAGTAATATTACAATCATTTTAGACAGTTTTATTCCCCCACCCACCCTTCAAACAACTTTCTTAAAACTTTATTATCGTTATCTACCTTGTGGTACTAACATTTATAACAACACACATGCGTCTAGCGACCCCCGGTTGTTCGTCAGTTTATCCTTCCTTTCCACGCTGATACTTTCTTGGACGTTTTATTTCTTCTTTCTCTTTCAATCTGAAGGAAATTGTACAACACAAAAATAATTTATCAATTTTTCCGTCGTATGTAACTGGCAATAAATCAGTAACATATCTGTCACTGACACCCAGTCAAGTGTACTATTTACGATTAATTAACAACACGGTAAATAAAGAAAGAAATGAAAACGAGACTTTAGAGCATTTAATATTTCTTCTAAAGAAATAGCGACGATTTCTGCTTTGAACATTTAACAATAACATCAATTGTTCTCACCATTTTCTTCTCTCTGATCGTAATTTTCAACTTGAGGTCTTTGCTTTACCTGAAAGAAGAAAAGTAAGCAACGATAACGACAACAGTTAATAATTTTACAACAGCGGCAACCGGAGTAAAAAAAA